GAAGTAAGGAACTATAGGCCAATCTCATTATTAAATAATGATTATAAGCTATTGGCTGTATAATGGCGGGAAAGATTAAAGAAGGTCTTGATTAATAAAATTCATGGTGATCAAACAGGATTTCTCCCAGGGAGACAATTACGGGGATAATGTAAGGAATTTGATTGACACTTATTGAATACCTGGACATGGAAAATAGACAGAAAAGCCGCACTGGTTTTCAGGCACCAAAAGGCATTTGATAATGTTTCCTGAACTTCCTAAAGAAGGCTTGGAAAGGAGCGAACTGCATATAAAATTTAGAAGAGGCATAGAAGCAATATACAAAGAACAGAAAGCAAAGCTGGTGATAAACAACAATACAAATAGAATATTTTAACATTTATAAAGGGACCAGATAAGGCTGCCCCCTGTCCCCTTATTATTTATTGTAATTTTGAAGTACTTAATAAGAGACTGAGGGAGGCAACAGAAGGAAAGGAATTAGAGTAGAAAGAAGGAATCAAAATTAAGCCTTTGCCGACTGATATTGTTTTGACTTTGGAAGATCCAAAGATAGTGTAAAAGAAGCAATACAAAAATTGAGGAATTTGGAGAGGTGCAGGTTTTAAGGTAAACAAGAATAAAACTAAATGCTGGTTAAAACTCAATCTAAGGAAGAAACATAAAGATCTAGAACAAAAAGTGGAAATCATGGTGCAGGAAAAAGTGAAATATTTGGGAGTGTGGATACGGCAAAAAACATAAACCTTATAAAGATAATTAGAAGTTACATGGAAAAAGTAAAGAAAGATCTGGAAATATGGGGAGGATGAAACTTCCTTTAGGGGAAGATAGCAGGGTTAAAATGAATGTTTCACCGAGGATGTTGTTTATTTCAAACCTTCCAGTTATTAAAGGTCTAAACAACGTAAAGAATGGCAGAGAACCTCTGAAGGAAACTCCATCTGGCAGGGGAAAAGACCAAGGATTAAATGAAAATACCAATTGATAAAAAGGAAAGAGGAGGCTTTGCTCTCCCAGATTTGAGCTTCATATGACGAGGCCAGCGTGCCTACTTTGGCTAAAAGATTGGATAAAATTGAGAACTAGAGACTCACTGGATTTAGAAGGTCTGGCCAACTGGCATGGTGTGGCACGCATAATCCTGGCACTTATGAAGGTGAAGGTCCGCAGGGCTTTCTTAAACCATATTTTCTTAGGGGGACCAACACATCAGGTCTGGGCAGCAAGAACCTTCCTGAACGACAAACACCAAGGTGGATTTCACCAGCAGAGGACCTGGGGCCAACAAAAAACCAACATGGAAGGGAAGACAGCCACCCGGCCAAGATTTGCTGGGAGTAACTGCGGAAACATGTGGCTTAAACCAAAACCGTATGAGGAAATAAAGGACGTCACCAATCACTCGGCTGGTTACAATATCATCAGGTGAATGATATGCCAAAACAAGATAAAAGGAAAATGGGCTTTGAGGACAAAAGAAATCAAAATTCAATATAGAAACAACAGGAAGGCAAAACAAAACATTGTCTAAATTGAGTAAGACATATTACTGGAATGGCATGGTTGGCAAAGACGAGGAAGCCAAAGAGGCAATGATTGTACCGGGCAATTGACTTCAAGTTATGTTACATCGAGTTCGAAAAAGTGGCTGAAAACCCTGTGGAAATAAGGGACATCAAATTCTGCGCGCCTGTACGCAGGTTTGAGAGAAAATAAGCTTCTGGAAACGCCTGTAGATGGCATCTCTACGCGCAAACATTGGCTAAAATCTATAGATCAGAAAATAAGACATGCTGGAAATGTGGTGAAGGGGAGGAGACCTCTACCATATGTGGTGGCAATGCAGCAAGGTGAAGGTTTTGGGGAAGCAACTTATAATGAACTAAAAGTTTTTAAACACACTTTTCCCCAAGAGACCTGGAGGCCTGCTGGGAAGAAGGCAAAGGAAATAAAAATGAAGATAAAAATATTTCTATGCCACCACAGCCGCAAGAATCATGCCACAATGTACTGGAGGAAATAGAAAACCATCTCCTAATATAAGTGACTGCAGGTACAAATGATCAATCTATGCTGAACTAGATGAGATTGCACAGGCAGAATACTTGAGTGACCAAGACTGACCTCAGAGATCCTGTGCAAAAAATTGGAGTAAGTGCTTGGAAACATATTGGAACGGATGTGTAGAGAGGAACCAAGTGTGTATTAGAAAAACTTTATCAGCTACAACGTTTTCAACTAAAACTTTAATAAACCAATCGACGTTAACTGGGACTAATGTAGATACTTCACCTAAAAGTGGTGAAGGGGAAGTCAAAGGCTATGAGGTGTAGCCTAATGGCTTATATTAGTTATTTTGTGAACGAACATAAGCTTTCTTTGTATAGAAATGAAAATAGGATGAATAATTTATGTTGAAATGTTTATTTTTAGATTTGTTAGTAATTCTTTTTTCTTTTTCTTACACAAATTCTGAATAAAACTCCACTTGCAAAAA